GATAGATAGATAGATAGATAGATAGATAGATAGATAGATAGATAGATGATAGATAGATAGATAGATAGATAGATAGATAGATAGATAGATAGATAGATAGATAGATACCCTGATGATGTTGGTAGATTCCAACGAAAGCTAGGTCCATTATAGCATTTTAAAATCTTTTTAAAATTTTTAATGTTTTATTAAAACTTTTAATGATTTTAACTTTCCCTGGTGTTCACTTTTATTGTTTTACTATGGATATGCCCAGGGATCATTCATCTGTTTTTAGTGTCATTTGTAATAGATAGATAGATAGATAGATAGATAGATAGATAGATAGGTAGGTAGGTAGGTAGGTAGGTAGATAAATAGGTAGGTAGATAAATAGGTAGGTAGGTAGGTAGGTACATACATGCATGCCTACATATAGATACATATATACATAGATATGGATGGACAAATAGATGGACGATAGATAAGGATGGATGGATGGATGGATGGATGGATGGATGGATGGATGGATGGATGGATGGATGGATGGATAAATGGACGTACGGACGGATGGATGGATAGATAGACAATAGATAATGATGGATGGATGGATGGATAGATATAGGTGGATAGGTACATAGGTAGATAGATAGATAGATAGATAGATAGATAGATAGATAGATAGATAGATAGATAGATAGATAGATAGATAGATGATAGAGACAGATAGCTTGATTGATAGAGATAAAGATAGAGGTGATAGACAGACAGATAGATAAGAGGTAAGTAGACAGGGGTCCTTGGTGCTCTAAAGCAACACCTCTCCCCCCCCTTCTCTAATTGCAAGTTGAAATGAAGGGCCATGTAGCTGTCAAATTTTTCATTCTTGACCGTGGGAAGCCAGATCCACTTAATGACTCTGAGATTCATGTAACAACTGCGGTCACTCTCTTAACAACCATAGCAAAAAAAAGGCCACAAAATCAGGTGTGCCTCACTTAGCCGCCACCTTGCTTAGCGATGAAAATCCTGGTCCCGTTGTCGTCTTCCGATGAAATTTGGCTCGTTTTGCAAAGCGAGCCCTGCTTGTGGGTCTGGCCCAACTTAACACCTTCCAGACGCCACAAAAGCTGCAATTCCTGGAAATCCCAGCCCTGTTTTTCTCGCTGGGAATCCTGGGACTTGTAGTTTTAACCCAGGGGTCTTCAACTCCCAGAATTCTTCAGCCAGGATGCTTTAAGACCGGGGTCTTCCAACTCGGCCCTTTGATGACTTGTGGACTTCAACTCCCAGAATTCCTCAGCCAGGCACGCTGGCTGAGGAATTCTGGGAGTTGAAGTCCACAAGCAGGGGTCTTCCAACTGGGCCCTTTGATGACTGGTGGACTTCAACTCCCAGAATTCCTCAGCCAGGATGCTTTAAGACAGGGGTTTTCCAACTTGGTGCTTTTAGGACTCGTGGACTTCAACTCCCAGAATTCCTCAGCCAGGCAAGCTGGCTGAGGAATTCTGGGAGTTGAAGTCCACAAGCAGGGGTCTTCCAATTGGGCCCTTTGATGACTTGTGGACTTCAACTCCCAGAATTCCTCAGCCAGGCACGCTGGCTATGGAATTCTGGGAGTTGAAGTCCACAAGCAGGGGTCTTCTAACTTGGCCCTTTGATAACTTGTGGACTTCAACTCCCAGAATTCCTCAGCCAGGCAAGCTGGCTGAGGAATTCTGGGAGTTGAAGTCCACAAGTCCTAAAAGGGCCGAGTTGGAAGACCCCTGTCTTAACCCCCCTGAAAGACGCCAAGCAAGGGAAAGAACAACGCCTTCCATCCGGTCGCTTCTCGGAAGAAGCGGAAGAATTGCCCTCAGAGCTACAGCTAGTCCTCAACTTAACGACAGTTCACTTAGTGACCGTTCAAAGTTACAACCACACTGGAAGAACGTGACTCATGACCATGACTCACCCTTACGACCGTGGCAGCGTCCCCGTGGTCACCTGATCAGAATGCGGACGCTTGGCCACTGACTCATACATACGACGGACACATTGTCCCGGTGTGTGTGTGTGTGTGTCACGTGATCCCCTTTTGCGACCTTCTGACAAACAAAGTCAAATGTGGGAAGCCGGATTCACTTAATAACCGTGTGTCTCACTTAACAACTGGAACGATTCGCTTAACAACTCTGACGAGAAAGGTGGTAAAATGGGGCAACGCTCACTTAGCCACTGTCTCGCTTAGTAACGGACATGTTGGGGTCATAAGATGAGGACTCCCTGTATTTTGGGCCGGATGAAGCCCACCGCCCATTTCAGTGGGGCTTTTTTTTCCCAAGCTGCCCCCCCGTGCGAATCTCTCTCCCTTTCCTTTCGGGCGCGTAGGAGACTGCAGCCGCCAGTACGAGGGGTCCAGCCATCCTTACAGGCCTTCGCAGGATTCGCCCTCGCCACAGCAGCAGTCGGCCCAGCAGCAGCCGCCGGCACCACCGGCGCCACAGCCGGCCCCTCCGCCGGCCCAGGGCGAGGGGATGGGCCCCGTGCCTCGGACTCACCGCTTGATCACCCTGGCCGACCACATCTGCGTAAGTTTGCACTTTGGGGTCCCTTGTGAAGAAGAGAGGAGGCCTCTGAGCGCGCTCTGAGTTTGCTGGTCTTCTCCAAGATGTTTCATGGCCCAACTAGGGAACCTCAGAAGGAAGTGGGGGGTTGAAGGGGGGGAGGAGGACGACGATGATGATGATGACTGTGGGGTCCTTGGCGCTCTCTGATCTTGGCTGTTTTCTTGCAGATGTTTCATTATCCAACTAGGTAACA